TGTTACAATTTGTAGAAGCCAGTCAATGCTGCAGCGCTTTGAAATATCTTATATCTACGAGTGCTGGTACATAACAAAAGCGTTAACTGCCACAGAAATGAAATAAAGATGGTGTGTATAAATCATCTGATTCCACTAAAATTGTTTCAGATTTGCCTGCAACTGTCATTCTAGACAAGAAACGGCCGATATAGCTGTGATAGACGATAAACGGTACTTGCCGATAAGAGATCTGCATATTACGGGGTTAAACGCAATTAATTCAGTTGTGAATGTGTCGACGCATATAACGATCTGCGAAACAGGTAGGATTTGGATGATACTACACAAGCACAGACCGGTATGTTATAGTATATATGACGGGTATAAGTGGACTAAATGGTTCTCAAATCAGTCCTGTAGATGTTGTTTGGACCAAAAAGCTTTTGGCGCAATAACGTGTCAAATTGACAGCAACGTGGTCTCACAGTAAAATGTCAACTTGTAAAAAGGAGCCAAGGTGTTCTGCTCAGGCTGAGGACCTTGATTTTAGTCGTTGTCACAATCAGTTCCTGATTTTTGGCAGCGTTCAGCACATTTATTATATTCCTTAGGCCTACGCATGATAGAAGATGTAAATCATTTCCCACTTTGCTGCATAACACTCCCCTTTTCCGTTGTCAATAACACGTCGAAGCAAAAACCAGTGTTCTTCTTTTCTTTGTCAGTTCTTGTCATGGATCTTGGAGTACTGGTTTCCAACCAAACATATTACGTAAACACGAAGTGCAATGAAAACGCCCCAAACATACACACAGGTGGACGGAGCGTTTTATCAAAAGGGGACACTGTGTACAGTTTCACTCTAGAAGACACCAACGACATTTGGATTTCGTTGGATTATGAAGACTATGATGCTTTCATTGAATTATATGGCGCCATTGATCCCATGACGTCACAACCTCTGCCTTCAAGCATAATTGTTAGAAACGACGACGGAGATACAAGATTAAATCCTGAGATTCATGTTCGTCTACAGGGACAACATACCTATTACTTGACGGTCAGTACTTTAGAAAGCGACCCAAAAGGACCTGATATTATTGAAATGACGATCGTCACCAATGGTTCACACGGTTATCAGAGTAAGTATATATATATTATCAACAGTTACCAAAGCAATGTCGGGTAATTAGATTATTAGGCCTGAAACTGAGGCCTGAAACTGAGGCACTTTGATCATCAAAACAAATCATTGTTGCTAAAGAATTCAATTTGATTGCTATGATAACGGTCACCAATTTACTGTGGATTGTAAGGAACACTGACTTGTCGCAATGGGATGTGTGTATGGTCTCTCTTTTTTTAGCATTTGATGAAGAAATCGTTCCATCAAGAGTTAATTGCATGTGCTTGGATTCTGATATCAATAGTGTGTGTACGAGAGGGAGGTGTGAGTGTAGACCTGGGTTTGCACCGGATCATATGGGTAACTGTGAGAAAGGTAGACTCTCTTTATTATTCAATATATCTGTTAACGTTCTCAACCTTGCAAAATCTTGTACAAACACGACTGAAATACAATGAACAACTGTAGCTGTTTTTTATATTTTCTCAAAAAAATATTTATATACAATTTTTTTTATAAATAAATTAAATATTAATTTGATATTATAATATTTATATAATATTTCAATATAAATACTTGGAATCTAACGTCAATGGTTTTATATTACTCTATAGTATCTTCTACAGTGTCATTGCCGTATGTTGATGTGTTGTTCTATATGGGGAATATAAACTCCCTTCGATACTCCCTTCGATACACTACTTTCTATGGCAGTAACTAAAATGACATTTGAGATTCATCTTTGGAAATGGTATATTTGGTATTAAGTCTTTGTCGTTTGAATAAAACTATCTAAACGTCGGCCATCATTTTGCTAAAAATAAACCATGTTGTGTACAGCTACAAGCACGGTATTAAAATGATTATATTGGTTATCATTTAATTTGATTTTCCTCATGTTCAATTGTCTTGTCATCTCGTCCAGTGCTGGGAATGGATTGCAATCATGACCTGGATTGCGCAAGTTACGTATATGGCAGCCATTGTGTCCTTGACGAACCTTTTGGGACAGTGTGCAAATGCAAACCTGGTTGGTATGAGAGGAATTTCGAGTGCTGTAAGTAGATCCATATTTCATAATTTTGTATGAATCTGAAAAATGATACAATTTTGTTTCTCACAATGAATGCACGCAACATTGACGTGCATTATGAGTAAGAAGATGCAGCAAAATTAGATGTACCGGTACTTGCTTTTCAGATGCAGCCAATACAAATGTTTAACGACAATAATTTTGGGATCATTTTTTATTGCCAGTTTTCAGTGCTTTGTCGGTTACTTTTATTTTTGAATGCATGGTTCTATTGTTGTTTTTTATTTTTATATCTTAGAATGTTTTCTTTGTATATTTTCTTTAATATTTCAGCACCTTGCCATTGCCTTTGTGACGGTAACGGTAACTGCACCAACAGCGGAGATCACAGGGCCGATGTGTACTGCACGTGTGAGCCAGCAAGCCGAACAGCAGCGGCCAGCGAAGGTTCGTGCATTAACGTGAAGATGTTGGTTAGATCGATTACCAGTGATATAATACAATTTAATGCAGCAGTGCACATCCACACGCAAGCGCGTGCAAATTTGTTAACAGTTATAATACGCGAGGCAGTTGTGTGAGTGGCTGTGAACGCGTGGTGCGGAAGCATCATGCGCTAGCGTAGACGTGTGTGCGTGCATGCCTTCACAAGTCCGTTTTGGCGAAGATGTCTGACATGAATCGCGCGTGGTGCATTGGTTTTTCTTATATCAAGTACATAAGTGAAATACTACTAGTTGTAGTGGTTACTATATTAGTTACTATTAGTTATAAAAGAGTTCGTAAACAATTTATGACTCCATCATGGCAAAAGCACGATTCTCGTTACCGTTCAGCCACTCTTTCAGGGAAGAGAGACAACATGGGTAAACGCTTCGTCCTGTCATTCTTTGGAAACGCACTACTGTCGTCTTTCACTTGCACGGACGATAAAAAAGATGTGCGTTTGATGTTAAAGATGACAAGTTATAGTGACACCCCTGCTGATGTCCGAGTGTCCACCCCATTGCACCCTGACTATCCACCAGTATCAGTCAGTGTCCAGAAAGGCAAAGAGACTACGGTGAGCATGCCAAGAGCGCTTTTCAAGTCGAACGCGACCGGTTTTGCAACAGACAGCATCTTAGTTGAAAGTTCCCGTGATATTGCAGTATTTGGACTCGCAGAAGGACCCGGTTTCTCCGGCGGATACCTTGCCCTTCCAGTTGATGTATTAGGCCAAGAATACGTCGCCTTGTGCTCCATTGACTCACGGCACAGTGATGATTATTCCCAGCATTCGGAAATCATCATCATTGCAGTGGAAAGCGACACCAGGGTTCGAATCACCATGCCAAAGGTAGAGGGTGTTTTCGTAATATACAATGGTAGCGAGTTCACAAGGCACCGTATGTTGGAAATCAGGCTGTCCAAGTATGAAACATTTCATATTCACAGTGAGGCGTTCTCTTTAACTCAAACCTTCATCAATTCTGACAGGCCCATTGCCGTGATAAGCGGTGCCAGAGAACAGTTTGGCTCCACGAAAGATATCGTCCTAGAGATGATGCCGCCGATGTCGGCATGGGGAAGAATGTACACCATGTCACCAAGGCATTCAGAGGCCAGCAACAATTGGACCTTGGTGATTTTGTCCAGTCGCTCTGAACAGAGTTACGTCGTTGCACAAGGGAATAATCAACCAACTTTATCAATAACGCGCGAGAGGCATGTAACGTACGAAACGTATGCGCAGTCTCTCCTGACCATTACCGCACGGGAACATGACCCAATTCTGGTTGGTGTCCATACGTCTTGCAGGCATCTTTCCAAGATGGAACAACAGTAGGGGGGCTAGATACTGCAGTGGCAACCCCATTTGAACAGACCCCCAAAAACGTCACCTTTGTCTCGGCTGGATCGCGTTTAAACGGCGTCAGCATGATATCAATTTCCTATTGCCTCAAATCTCTAACGTTGGATGGAGGGCAAGTGCACTGGAATTCAGACCTGTCTATTAGAACGCCCATGCTACAACTGAACGCAACCACCGCAAATGTTGATAGAGGAACACATTATATAAGTAATGATCAGCCACAGGAAGGAGTTCTAGCCTCTGTGTATGGTTATGGAGATAACGTCGGGCATGCTTTCCCTGCTGGGGCGTTGTATACTATAACGCATGTAAGTATACCTGTTTCCATTATTTGGGTTATAAGAAAGGTACCTTGTTACCTTATTACAATTATGACACTTGCCGATAAATTACAACAAAGTGGATGTCGAAAACGCAGCGCTCTAACGTTATGTATCTTGCATACAGGTATACCTTTTACATCTTATGAATGAGACATTGTGTAAACGTCATACATAACGCCTCAGAATGACGCATGTACGTGTGATACCCACTGGTGAATGCTACAAACACCTAGCTGAATCGTATTGCATCTATAATATAGTTTTTGGTTTGACTGCAACATGAGCTCATATGTTTTGAGGTTGCTGTGACTGCAACGATTGGTAAAACAGAAATTCAGTTTTGTTCGCGTTATTTCAGCCATGTCACCCAAGTATCACAGTGGCCGGGGATTTAGTTGACAACGACTGTGACGGTTTTGTTGACGAGGAGGTCTACAACCATATCGGTAAGTGATTCATAAGATGGATAAAAATTAAAACACGAATTTGGATTTGGCAAGCGTTTCATGGAATAAATGAGAGTACTCGAACAGACCTATCTGGGATAGATGAGTGGAGAAAAATTACAATATGGCAGCATATAGGCAATAAGAGACCGGCACTTTGGATATATTTCCATGTGACTACGATTGTAAATAATAATTCTAAAGGTGTTTATTTCTAAGAGGGAACTCCAAGTCACGATGGATACTTGAAATTATTAGGGGAATTACTGACTGTGGGAAAATATATACATGTATATTGCTATATACACATGTATATATAAGTGTTCCATCGGCAATAAAGCCATTCCTGATTAGCCATTATATCATGTATCTGAATCCTTTTCAATAATTTTTAGACGACGATAACGATGGGGAAATCGATGAGGATCTAACAGAAGACCGTTTAGTAAGTTTTACGATATAACAGTTTATGAAAATGTGAAATCCCCTAGAGGCAGTGAATTTCGTGATACTTTGTGTCTGCTGCAGTCTTAGATTAAGATTATATCAAAACAATCCTACAGGAAGATCGTCAATACTATTGACAAATCATATTCTTATATAAATATTGTGTATCCTTATTTAACAGGTGTTGCATTACCACATTGACCCATGTAAGTAAAGCACAGCTACCTAACTTACTCTGCAATTCCCTTGTCACAGTTTATAATCCAAATTTAAAAATAAGTTAATGTTCCTTGTGTACCATTGTCAGTGATATGTATAGCATAAAATGTGCACTTAAATATTGGCTAAATGTTGTAATAGGCTTAAGTCGAACATTTGGATATGTCAGTGTATTTCTTTTATAAAGCATTTTGGAATAACTCTGACTTTAAATTGATAATTTTACCAAGATTTGTCGATACTTTAGGGGAAATTGTTTGCAGTAAAAGCAAATTTGGTAACATAATGAGTCTGACATATGACGCTAGAATTGTGTGGGCAAATGTGTCGGCCGTGTATAACGAGGGAGAAGATGCTGGCGCATGCGCATTTCTCCACACTTATGCCACAGAGTATCGGAGAGACGTCATGCTCGATGACGCAGCTGAAAGGAATAGGTGTGGAATTGCGATTGTAAGTTAAATCGTTATGCATGTTATGTATTATGTATTTAAACAAGGTATTGCATATTTAACCAACTCCCCTTTCATTCATCATTATCATGCCGTTATATTCGTAGTCAATAATACCTTGTATTTGGGGGAATTTACTTTCTCGTTAGTGGTATTATATAATATCAATAATATTTATTTGCAACCAAAAGTTGGTTGGTGCATTTGAAATAATAATAATGGTTATCCAAGACATTGAATATTAAACCTTTTCTAAAATACACTTGGCAGCAATATCGTTTAAGCAAAACAATTATTATTATTGGTTTTAGTTTAAAAAAAAACCTACAGGTAGAATGAGAGAGAAGTTAAGGCACATTCATTTCTACTTTCTTTAACTTTTACTCTTCCTCTCACTTCCACGCTCAGAACAAGGAGGAAGACAGCCTGGTGCATTGTATCAATGTGGTAGCACAAGTGGAGGCCGGAGCTATAAGCATAGGAGACCACCACTACAGGGTGTGCTGTGTATTCCAGACCGATGACCACTCAAGAGTAGTCGGCAGTAGTGTTAATGTAGAGCAGTAAGTTTTTTTTGTAATTTCTTCTACACAGTGCAATGTATGTGTGTGATATGAATAAAAATGTAGAATGTAAAAGTGTATGTAACGAAAAATGAAAAGAAAAGAAACAATACAAGTGAGATAAACAGTTGATATCAACGGTTTTATAGTGGCCCCTCGCTAGAAAGCAGGCAAGCCGGAAGCGAAATCAACAGTGGACGTGCGCATGTAACTCTTTCCGTAAAAAATATGGCGGACGAACTGGTGCCAACAGTTCGTGTGGGCGACCAGGTTCACCTCCAGGCTTCATTACGTCGACACGCAGGCAAGTTTTTAACATTCACTGCCCTTTTGAATTATTCGTCGTCACTTTTGTATGCCCCACTATAGTTTTGATTTTTTATGTTCAATATAGTACATATAGGCCTACCGAAAGATGAATTTTACATTGTACTTTGTTACATTTCTAACGGACGCATCTTAATCCTTTAACTTTTGTTTTGAGAAATCACAAATAAACATAAAAATAAATTATGAGGACGAAGTAACGGGTTTTTGAATCTTTTAGTATTTGCGTGGATGCATGATAACGAAAGTGAAACCTTTTCAGCCTTTCAGGGCATCCGTGTAATCAACTGCACAGCATATCCCTCACTCAGAAACCCAAGCCCATCTCGTGTACTGACTAAAGAGGATGGGTAAGTATTTAGACCATATGACCATTGGCAATGGATCTCCAGAAGAAAAAACTCCTTCGTAAGAAAGAAGGCCAAAATAGTTTAGATGAAAAGTAATCGTCATATGTGAATAGTACCTAATACAGACTAGTATTAGTACCTCACTTTCAACTTAAAATATACATATCAGAAGAGTAGTATACCTTAGAAGGTAACTATCTGGAAAAAAACTCGCTGCGGATGTAATTGTCTTTTAAGTACACGTACTGAAGTATGCTGTTTGAAATGAGTACAATTTCTAAACAGCAATTTTTAATGATTTTAACAATTTATACAATCAATACCAATTTCCATTAAACATGTTCAGATGTGGTACGGGGAGAGTTCTGGCTGAAACGGAAGGATTTACCCCGCTGGAACATTCCTCAGCAAGAGCGGTGTCTGCCCCCTTCTATGCCTTCAAATTCACTGGATATTCCGATGTTTACTTCCGATGCTTGGTGGCATTATGTGCGGACTCGGAGGAAACTTACTGCACAACGGTAATTGTCTTCTGGTTATATTTTGTTTTTTTTCTTTAAATCAATCAAATAAAGACAGACCAGTTCAGTTTCTTTTTGTAAATAGTTGAGTCAATCGTAAAAAAATGAGTTCATTCAGCAGTTTTGTGGAGTTCATTGGCCTTTGTATCTATACAGAATGTCACCATCACCCATATCATCATATTACACGTATTACATCATTACAACTGAGCAATGTATAATGGGTTTTCAAAATATTAGAATCACTGCCATGGTCCGGGACATGACAAGCTGCCACGCAGTCGTAAACGACGCAGTAATGGGGAACACGACGCGTCGAGTTTATCCCTTCCGGAAAGACAGGCTTCACTGGATGACGATCCCGCAGCGAAGAAATTCATAGAGATGGCTGTGACCACAGTCTTGCGTGTACAGGAAGATACTGAATCAAACTTAGAACGTATGTGGAATGTTAAATAATATGTTTGTCTAATGATACTAAAGTGCCAATGACTTAAGCACGTTTAAAGTGTGGTGTTAATAAACTTGAGGGGGCGAAATATTATCCCTATCTTGCAGAGTTTGGATTATCTAGATTAATAATGTATTTTTGTACGTTTTGAAATTTTAAATTTGGACCATTTTCGCTCTTAAAATTGGATTCATTTCCTTATATTGCAGGAGAGTCGCAAATCCTGTCCCATTATGAAGGCAACAAGGCACACTTTTTCACCGGACACTGCCAAAGATAGTGGAAAATGCAATAAACACAGTTTCAATTTAATGTTCCTTGTAGCTTGTACTGGATTAGTTTTCGTTCTTTTGTTGGTTGTTTCAATATTGTTGTGCAGGACATATTCTTCTAAATCGAGGCTGGTTAATTTATCTAAAAAGAATTTGGTATTGTCAGGAAATTAATGATTAAATGTTCGAATGAGCTGATGTTTGGCAACGAATATACTACGAATCACATGTTTGTTTGTTGGATCCATCAACAGTCGCTGTAAATTATACAACTAGATGATATAAATATATTTATAAAACTTGTTTTTGTTCGTTATCCTCTGTTTAAAGCCGTATCAGTTAGATTTAGATCTTTCTAAAGCCGTTTCATTTCTCCTCCATCCCAATGTACCACAAACTTTCATAGTCCTTTTCACAACAATAAAGAAGGCAACAAATAATATCAATAATAAATTATTTGTTCGAGATTTATAATAATATCCTTATCATTTTAACAATTTTAACAATGTAACAAATTGTTGCCCTATTTAATGTCATTGCTTTAGGGATATATATATATATATATATATATATATATATATATATATATATATATATATATATATATATGAGTCCTCATCCTAAAATTTATGATGTGACGAGTCAATAAAGGTTAATATTTATTACAAACAATTTGGAACAAATTTCGTTTGTGGGGTTACAAAGAGTTATCTTTAGCTGCTTCATTCTTTAGGAAATGATAATAATAAAGATGTTTTTTTGCCAATTTATTTCATTTCATAAGTAAAATCATATTTAAATTTGCCTTCAAACATCATAAAGGTGCCAGTACAATGTATATACGCTATCAAAAACCCGACTTGAAAGCAGTTTCGTCCATTTAAACATTTACTGCCACGGGTGATTTTTCTCACCAGTACGACTGTGAATCAAAATTGAAGTCTCATAATATGAAAGCCACGTGGACGAAATATAACAGTTTGCCTTGGTTTGTACATACTTTGTTGTCCGGTTCTCCCAAATATAAGATCTTTAGTTTGCTTATTTCTGTTCGTTTTTTAGTATTTAAAAGTAAGCCCTTAAAATGTACAATAAGGAGATGTGAAACTGTTCCAAATGGGGTAAGCACTGTGGAAGATGCAACACACATAAATTCTGTCCAATGTTGCGTATATGGGATGCATTTAAATGCAATGTTTGTAAATTAAATGATTGTATTTAACGCATTAAATCAATACGTGTTATATAACCGTTCACGAAAAAATCGGCAAAAAATCTTTAGCCGTATAATCTTAAGATTCTAAATGGATTGCTGTTGTAAAGATACAAATTCTCAGTGGTGAATTGATCCCTTAATCTTTTCATTCATTTAATTATTTTATGGCTCTTTGAATCGATTATAAGTGCCGTACGTGAGACAGGCTTGCTTGAGTGGCTTGCATAAAAAGAAGAGAATAGTTTGTGGTTATAAATCACCTTAACGAAGCATACTTTTTGGCCAATCGAACACTGGTTTAACAGTTTCTCACTTTATATTGTCGCCGTTTTATTAAGTTCGGCAGTGCCGGAGGAGCCATGGTTTTAAAAACGAGAAGAGTGATAAAGCGATTAGTATATTGAACGAAGGTCTTGAAAAATTATATCGTTTCACACATGCATCTCAGTATAGTGACAGGCATACTGTCGTTTTTGAGGAGGTGGTGGAGGGATTAACTCCAAAGTTTAATGAGCATCACGTGGACAGGTGCATGCTGTCTCCTCCCTGAATCTGCCATAGTTATTAGGTTTATCACAAAGTTGGTAAACCTTCAACTTTATTGAAAGGTAATTTTTTGTAACATGTACGTTTGAATACCAAAAGTGTGAGACCTAGATCAAGAGTACATGCAGTATGTACCGGTACTATATGTGGGTCTCCACCGAGTCATTAAAACATACAGGTCTGGAAATACTCGTGGTCCACCTTGAAAATAAAATCTTCAGATATAGCCCATTGAACTGTGGCTTCTAAACAAACTAAATAATAAGTGTGCAATATAAATATTTATTTAAATTGTACGTGGCATTTGCGTATAATTCAGTTTTTCTGCCAAAAATATGTTTATAATACAAATAACTTTTTATGAAAAAAATATATGTATGTAATTTGGCCTTTGTGCAATTTCATAGAATCCCTGCAGTCTTGATAGATATAATATCACAAATTGCATCAAACTTTAAAATTAAGCTTCAAAATCGCCGAAGTGTGCTTTAAACAACAGGGACACAAGATATATTTGTAAATCTATATAAATATGTGGATCATTTCAAATACCTTTTTTTAAATCAAAAATCAATTTTCATGGTTTGAAGGGCGAATTCAGATAACACATGTTTAACAAACGGAATGATCTCTTTTCCCAATTATGTCATGGCTACCTTACACAACGGATACGGTCTCGAGAACTGCGATCCCACCTAAAACTCTCTACATATCGTCTCCCTCTCATTTCATATTTCCGTATTCGCACAATAAGAGACGACACCGTTAGGGCAAACACCAAGACTACAAATAATATTACCACAACGGTGGAAAAGAAGTGGATACTGTATACGCTGCACTCTTTAAATAGGCGTCCAGCATTCAGGTTTGGACCCTCTGACAAAGACTCGTTGTCGCTCTTAGAAGGAAGGGCGTGCGGTTTATCTGAAAAGAAAAAGGCATATGCATACATAACGAATTATGAAAAACAGGGCAAATGCCAATAACAAAACAGCTATCAGAGATGAAATTTTCCTAAATTAAGCCACTCAAAGCAATAACATCTAAACCCTGCTTTCTGTGATACACCATTACACATGTAAGCCAACAAAATGGCATCAAATCTGCCCCACAATATTCAACCAGACAAAGAGAAATCTCGACCTAACCTAACGCACAAACAAACAAACAAACAAAAAGTTAAACTTTCTCCAGGTATACGGCTTACTTAGCTTTTCTCGAACCGTCATCCATGCAGATGCTGTAATGGAAGTGTCAAGGTCTGGCAGGACTTTTTCCGACCTCCTCTTTCGCCGATAGTCTTTATACAGCAAGTGTTGGTAGTTAGGCCACTTCTCTGGGATTTCGTTCGGGTCGTGACAATGGGGCTATATAAGAAAATGTATTCAGGTACGGACCTCATAATTTTGACATTTGGCCCAATATATTATCATTATTAAATATGCCAAAAATATTAAAGAGAATTCGATGTTGCTACATGTAGTACTCTGCATGTGTTATGAGCTAAAAGCGCTAGATTGATAGCAAGATTGTAAAATTAAAATTATGAGACAGAAACTTCGGAATTCTATGGAACTTACCATTGTGCAAAAAGGGGCACCGGGGAACACACAAAGTAGGACAACACACTTGAAAAACACGACCTCGTGATCATTGAACTTGAATGCTGGGAAATACGGTGACGCTGCTTTTGTAGAACTTTGTTCTAGTGGCATGAATCCTTCGCCTTGGTCAATGACGAGGCCATCTCCACATCTACAACAACAGAAAATACACCACCATATAGTGAAAGTGAACACTTATCTGCCACTGAACTTCAATACAACAACGACATAACACGCCAAATAATGTGGAAATCTACGCCTTACCCATTCTGATCTGTAACTGTCCGCTTCTCCGTCTCGCTGTAAGTGTCAGTCGGATAAGCAGTGCAATTCGCTACACGTATTCCTTGAAACACTGAAAAGTCGAAATTAAACAAAGTTACCCTTGACGTAGCAAATGTTGCTTAAAGGGTTAAAAACCCTTCATTTTGGCAAAAAGTACGATAAAATGGATTTTCCCGGGGTATAGAACGATTATCCCATACTTTCCAATGGTTGGTGTATCCGTTCCCACATTAAAAGTCCGTCGATCGTTTTTAATGTACGCTCATTTTGTAATAATCTCTAAGATATTATTTCTGAGGGTAGCCATCTAGGGTCACGTGGACCGATGGCAAGCAAAGATTCAGAATAATTGCGTTAACCGCCGTTTTAGTAAGAGGGAATTTATGTTTCCATGTGTTGTAACTTGTTTGCAGTGTATTTATTTATTGTGGAATTTTGAATTTCATGAATAGGAAGAGATGGTATCCTTTTAATGCTTCAACTATTTTCTGAAGAAATCTTTGCCGAATGTTGGTCAACACTTTATGACAGGGAATTTTGGTCTACTGCAGTTCACAAAAAACGCAGTTTTCTACTGAAATAAAACAACTATCTGGTATGAAACAGTAAGCATTTTGGTTCGAGCACTATATAGATTAAAAAATACTTTTAAAAGAGAGGAATCGGTCCGAGCTCACCTCCGCTACTGACCAAAGTTGCTTCCAGACGAATCATACTACCGACACCAACATCTTCATCTGGTCTTAAACTCTCGTCGTTCTTGTCTTGTTTTCGTATATCCAAAATAATTGCGGCCTGTTCACTGCCTATACGTCCACTGGCGCCTCTCACCGATAAAGGGTTGCTAGAAGATTTTTTACATTAAACTATAAGATTCAATGTAGATGAAGATTTTATCTAATATGATCTAATATTTCTATTAGGTGTTTTAGTAATAAAGGTGACATGGGAATAATATAAGTATGTATCATCAAGAAAAGTCATATTGGGGAAAAAGATCAATATTGATTATGTTTTGACAATGTTTCCAGTGCCGACATATATCGTAAAAAATGTTTGCATCCCGAGTTTCATTAATTTAGTGATTGCAAGAGCTCTACTAGTATGGTTGCGGAAAGATGATGGACTGCAGTTTATACTGGGTACCTACTACATGTAGTATGATTGTTGACAGGCATGATGGACTGCAGTTTACACCTAATAGTGAGTGGACACACTTTAAAGCACCAGGCACATTAAACTGAGTGACAGAAAAGAAACGTGAGGGAATACTTACATACCAACCTCTGACGCTGTGGCTATGACCCTAGAGGAGTCGTCAGGAGGGAAAATACAGCTCACTACGTAACTATGGTCTCCAATGGCAACAACATCCGGGTCCTTCTGGGCAATCACGTTTATTAAGTAGACCAACGAATCCTCTTCTTTCTCCTATGATTTAATGAAGATTAGCTCCCTAGACCAGTGAATGGAACAGTCACTTTCATGTTGCAACTATCTAGTCGCACACTCTTTTTTACGTCATCAAGAAGTCAAAGGGGGATAATAAATTAACATTTATTAGGAAACATTGTAACATATTTCCTAGTGATTTCTTTTCACGGTTTTAACATTTTGCCCTTCGCCCTTCTAATTACCCAAGATTTAATCAAAGCAGTTGGCAATAGTACGGTCAATACATTGTTTTAAAAATTTTACCACAGATACTCCGCAGGCATCCCTGTCAGCCTGGTCGTCCAACAAAATATCTCTCCTAAATTCAGTTCCATAAGGAAAATAGCGGACAAAAAGGCACTGCTGTAAGGCCGTCCCGGCCGCTTTCATGATGGACCAATTTGTTCCGGAGTCGTATAGCAGGCTCATTAACATGCCTCTGCTTGTGCGGGTGCAGGTAATTTGCCCTGTTAAAACATTGGGATTAATGAGCATACAGTACATAAATCTGGTTCTCAGCTGATCGTTATCTATTCAGTTCCATTAAGGTATTTAGTAATTAAATCATAACTATTATTAAAATATTTCAGCACACGAAACAAGGTGTGCATAATAAGGAGATCTGACACATTTTAATACCAAAACTAAGCATTATAAGGATAAATAAAACTACTTTCACCTACAGGGTGGTACTTCTTGTAGTGGCTACCGGAACATGTTTGAAAGAGAAAATGTACATTTTAAGCATCTGCCAGCATCATAATCTGTAAACTAGTGACAACATTATCATATTAGTTTACTCTAGCATAATATATTACTTCTTTTTTTACACTGCCAATAAATACTAATGTGTATTAAAACAAGGAACCAGTACACAAGTTGATATTAGATTAAAATTAACTGGAGCAAAACCAATGGGCAGTGCACTGCCACACAATTCCACACTTGGCCTATTCACACCTGCCCGTGGTTGACCACGTCTTCGTCAATTAAACCATCGTTGTCGTCATCTGCAAAATAAATGCGGGTCTATCTGTGTGGATGCTTAAGACCAAAAGGAGAAAATGGTATACAATTATAGCACCTTCATGTTTCAATATGTATTTCTAGACTGACATGTTTGGTTGCTAACAAAACAAGTAAAAGAGTCATTGATTTAAGTCAATGACTCCGGTAATTATGTAATCTTGACGATATATAATTGATTCCAAATGTAATGCAATACAAAGGATGTTTTGAACATTTTCGCAAAACATTTGTACACAAACGATGTTGGCGCACTTGCATGTTAATTAACTCCAACAGGAAAACGGGATATATATATATGGCATTACCGCAATTATTCAAAATAAAGATAGCTAAGTAGACTTGATTTGAACGCCAGAAATAAAAGTGAAGTGGTATCATTGCTTAACATCGTTAAGTATGTCACAAAAGTAAAGCTTATTTCTGACAAAGCATTGGAAAACTAGTAGGCCTACGTCACGGGGTGTTCAACGATGTGGGTTGGGCTCCTTGTAAATTTAGCCATTGGGCAACATTCTATTACCCTTCGATGCCATCAAAGCTGCCTTTCTGACAAGCATCTCAGTCCGCTGAATGCAAACTTAAGAAAAGAATGAAACCGCACCTAAACCATTAACCACCTCTTCATCCACAGAGCCGTCGCAGTCGTTGTCCACCAGGTCGCCAGCCGACGACAAACTGGGAAGGCATGGCTAAAAAAAATACATCACACATAAATATATTTAAGATTAGCATTGAGAGTTTCTAAGCTGCACGTACATGTATAAACCTTATGGATGGCTTTTACAAAAAACACGCTGTATGTGATGCGAAGTATATTCGAAGTAATTGTAAATTCGAATCCAAAAAGATAACGAAATACAGCGTGATCTAATTTTGTGTAGGGAAGTATATTTTGATATAATACAGTGCATCACGTAGCAATCTCGCTGTTGGTCATTAATTACTGAATTCTATACATCAAAAGAGAATCTAATTTCAAATAGGGTATTTATCTCACGAAAACATATCTTACATGGGTTTCTTGATAGAGTGCTCCAACAGGAAATGCATATTCAATCCGCTTTCCCGTGCCATAAAGTGTTCCCTCCACGCTTTCTTGTGGCATCTCATTAGACAGCGTGTGGACCCCCGGGTTTATCACACACTCAGCCGGGTTCACAAGATTTTCTGGAAAACCACGCCAAACGCTGGTATCCAGTGTCATGTTATCGGTCTTCACGAAGTGCTGTGCGTATGGCGTCGACTTCAATCCCAACCGACTTTCAAGCTGTCCTGCTACGAACGTTGACCGGGAAGGGGACTGTTGGAGAGACGTAAGAACATGCAGATGGCGCCCCCCTTTTTGAGATTCACGTTTGTAAACACCCTGACTTCCTCCTAGAACTACAAGCCCCGGGTCATTTCCACCCGAAACCTTTATCAAAACTCCCATATCGTCAGTTACGTCGAATTCAAGTGGCAGAATAAGTATTCCTCGCTGTGGATATTCGTATACTTGTATTTCGTAAGTGGCGGTTGCATCAGACAGAAGTACAGATGTTTTGGACCGAGGGGACAGTAACGCCAATTCCATACCAGTTGCATCAGGGAGCGTGCTGGGTAGAAAGAACACGTAAGTCTGTCCCCACGTTGAAATTGGTGGCATCATTTCAATCATCATATCATGAGACAAGCCGGGACTTCTCTCCGCCAATGGAATAACCCTCGAACCGCATATAAGTCCAACGGGTTTGTCCGAGACGATATATGCACTTGTCAGTGGTCGTGTCAATTGATACACGTGGAATGTTTGATATCTCGAAAGCTCGATTTCAAATGACTCGTGGCCAGCGTAGTGTCTGCCTTCAAATTGGAATAAAGGCATCTGTGGTGTATGCTGCGGTATTTGGATGCGGACTTTCGTTTTCTCATGTATGGCTAAAACAACAAATTCGTGATGACGGTTAGGATAAGTTGGGTACTCGCCACACGCCGCCATATACTCTTGCCCCCAAGCATCAACCGGTATAGCCAGATACCCTCCGGCCACATCTGGGCCTTGAATGATCACAGACACAGACACATCCCGTGTGCTCAAAACTAATATGCTACCGTTCACGGCCTTCTCTAAATCCGTGCAGAAAAACTCGGTTGGAAGGTGAAAGGTAAATGGCTTGCCTCTCTGTAGAACATCCTGAGCCAAGTGCGGGCGGTATCTAGATTGCAGTAGAGGTGACGTAATTGTGACGTGAGCTGGGATTGCGCTGTCCGTGGAGATCTGTACGTATACCCCGATGTCTGGGTCGCCTGCCATCGTACACCCGTCTATTGTAGATAGGAGAAACATTTTGCCTGCGTTGTCTTTTTTACCTTCAATTGAAAAAAAACAGGAGTTTTTATTTTGTAGTCAATTGTTCAATGAAGTGTAGAAATTAAATATAAAGTGTTTTGTTACTCTGCGGGTGTTTTGTCAATTTAAATATAAATGCATTTCTGGTGGGGGTGCAGCATAAGAACTTCACGCAACGGTAAGTAAATATAACTGCTGTCTTAATTTAATCTGGAGTATAAGGATACATTCTAAAACATCTCCCTAACCTTGTGTAGCTGCAGAGGGTTGACTCATCGTCCCACAGTGACAAAGATGAGCGGCATCCTCGTCTTTATTACTACAAAACCCCGTGGCATCACACCCACACATACATGGAGCTGAAATTAATGTGTGTTCAAGGATGTTAAACTCCCGCGACAAAAGTGCGTCGAGTTTATTGATGACAATGATGCTTGTCTATTTCACGCATAGCACACTGTGACATAAAATAATAAGTGACCAGAAATGTGAAACAAGTTACCACACACAATGGCTTTCTTCGTCCCAAATGTGTCCACGAAATACTGGTATGCCCCGATTTGGTGAGCCCTTCCATGCACACTGCAATAGGCCGAACCGGGGCATACGTACTATGTGTGAAAAAGACAAAATACCAGGGTTATCAATGAACCCATCGTACTTCTGTCTTGGAAGCTCAGCTCCCTTGGGGTTGTAACCAAGAAAACCGGTCGTGGCAAATAAGGCAATGTCAAGTAAACAGACAGAGGTGGCACGTTGAAAATTGTGGTCGTGATTTCCCCCGGGTTTCAGAGATTACTGGGTAATAAGGGGCACTATGCTGGTAGTGTGTGCTAGTTTCCACTGACCTCTAAATCTAAGTGTGGCAGTGATCTAAAATTTTACATCGATTTTGGGTGAAAATAATGAAATAAGATCCTGGTTCCGCAGACTTCATTAATTTGGAGCTAATTAAAATCATCAAGAGAGAAAAAAATTTTTGAAACCCGTCAACACAGAACAGTGACTGTTGCAATTACTACAAATGCGCATGCGTGTGATCTGGGATAAACTTTGCTTCTGAAACCCGTGCTTGGTAAAACGGCACTTACTGCACTCATTCTCTCTCTCGTACCAATTCGGTTTGCACGTGCAAATCGGTCCTAATGTAGAGTCCGTATTACATGTACTTCCGTATACCGCACTGGTACAATCAAGATCGTTGTTACAGTCCATTCCTAGAACTAAAAAAAAAAATCAAATGGGTGACTTTTAAATAATATAAAATCATATTCAGTGTTTAAGGACTTATTTGGATAAGTGTACATATCAGTCACTGATGATTTTGGATGTAGAAATCAATTTAGAAAAGACACACTTGTCCATAACAATCGATTTTATAATTTTTAATGTTGATATTCGCTTCTTTGGTTGAAATTACTATTCTTTAGCAAATTCTAAATTATTGTACATAAAGTTTTCTTTTGTGCTAAAATAGGGTACTAAAACAGTGAGAATCTCGCCCTTCGGATACAGAGAAAAAGAAACCTCCATAAAATGCGATTGCAGCAATCATAGTAAAAACACGAAACTAAAAGTTAAAGGACTAAAATGAGTAAAAATACCTTTCCGACAGTGTGAGAACTGATCCGACACAAAACCTGGGCGGCACTCACATCTGTATGTTTGTTCTGGACACCAACTGGCGGCGTCATATTTTTGACACTCCGCATCTGTTAAACAATCTTCGGATAATGCTGGAATTCAAGTCGCCTTGCTTCACATACCATCGTAAATAAAGAATTTTGATACCCAAAGACAAGAACTGGCTATATAAAAATGCTCTAGCTATAAAATTACAATATGTACGAACTTTATATACCATTGGCAAAAAGACAAAATGTAATCATAATTTTCGCATACCACATGTGCATGAAACCAGTGTTCTTTGTTATATGGCAGATTAGCATGCTCAAATGCAACAAGACATGACATTAAATTCCAAAAACTGAATTATAACTGAATACCTTTAAATGTGTTAAAACCACTTGTACTTAAGTGAAGCTCAAAATACCCTCGATTGGTGAGGGTCCCCACTGTCCCGCTTACGACAATATAGTACGTGTGGTTTCCCCGTAACCTTGCCATAATTCTAGGATTCAGAGAATCCCCTTCGTCGTCACTGAGAACAATTAATCTGTCGTCAAGAGGTTGAAAAGTGAGTGGGTTCACGCCGCCGTACAGCCTCATATTCACATCAAATGAATACTCTGCATGGAGGTCTATTATGATATCCACAGGGTCAGTTGATTGGACAACAAAACTATAAATTACGTCGCCTACGCCACCGGCTCCAGCTCCAATGTCAGATGCCCGGATGTTGTTCGCCTTTGTTATGTATTTAGAATTAAGGAGCAACATGCCAAGATCATGCAATTGGACTGAAAAATATACACCTTTGGAATTATCAGTTGCACACCAGTAGAAACNACAGACTACAGGATGGAAGAGCTAAAAGCAGCCACAGCCAAGGACCCCATACTGAAGAAAGTATGCAGTGCAGTTCATGAGGGATGGCCTAAAAGTGAAAAGAACTGTGACCCAGATTTGAGACAATATTTCGCATTCCGAGATGAGATCATAGTTGATCAAGGTGTAGTGCTGAAAGGAAGCCGGATCATCGTACCAGCAACTTTACAGCATGAATATGCATTGAAAGCACACAGAGGACACGCAGGTTGTCAAGCAACAAAGTCAAGGGCAAAAGACATAATGTATTGGCCCAGCATGATGAAAGACATTGACAGTATTGTAGAAAACTGTACCGTGTGCCTGTCTATGAAAAAGCACCAGCAGAAAGAACCACTTATGTCTTACCCAGTACCGACCAGACCATGGTCTATTGTGGCTACAGATTTATTCGAGTGGAGAGGTGTAAACTACATGGTAACAGTGGACTCGTACACTAGCTGGTATGAAGTCAATACCCTAGGGAACAGTACAGCCAGTGCAACAGTTATAAAAAAACTTAAGTCGCATTTTGCAAGATTTGGCATTCCAGACATCCTCATTTCTGACAATGGTCCACAATTCAGTGCCAGAGAATTCAAGGAATTCAGCCAAGCTTGGAAGTTCAACCATGTAACCAGTAGCCCCCATTTTCCGTCTAGTAATGGATTGGCAGAAAGAGCAGTACAGGCAGCAAAAGCGCTTCTAGAGAAAAGTGCACGTGAAGGCAGTGACCCTTATTTAAACCTGCTCAATAGCAGAAATGTACCAAGAGACCCAGTGCTTGGATCAGCGGCCCAGAGGATGATGGCACGTCGCACCAAAAGTGACATACCTATAGATGAATCATTACTAGCTCAGAAAATACTCGACCCAGAGATAATCACACACCGCCTTTCAGAAAGGAGATTACAGCAGAAAAACACATATGACAAGACAGCTAAACCACTCCCAGCATTGCAACCAGGTGACAGAGTCATGCTGGAAAGCAAAACAGGTTACAACAAACCAGGGATAATCACCAAGGAAACGGCCCCGAGATCTTACAATGTCCAGTGTGATGACGGCAGTGAACTTCGCAGGAACAGAAGACACATCCTGAAAATGCCAGACCAGCACAAATTATCACCAGATTCAGGAGAAATGAAACCAGATAATCAGGACAGTGCGAAAATTACGAGAAGTGGGAGAGTTATAAGACCACCCAAAAGACTGATAGAGGAATAAACCATACATGAGGACTGACATTCATTTGTGTTTGTTATGTATTGTTATTTCAGAGTACCAGTGCAGAAAAGCACTAAGTTATGCAACATTTTCAGTGACATTCTTTTTACTTTACCTTCTGGGAAAGGAAAGGATCAGACAGACTGTAATTGACAAACTGTTGAAAGTGAATTCAGAGACTGTTGAAAATACACTAAAATTAGAGACTGTTGAAAGTGAATTCAGAGACTGTTGAGAGTACACTAAAGACTGTGAATATAAGAGACTGTTAACATTGCAAAGTTTGCAATCATTCAGAGACTGTTTGTTTATTTGTCACAGTTAATTACTGTCAGATCAAATTCATTCAGGAGGACAGACTTTTCTTTCATTGAACATTTAAAAAAAATGTTGACTTTGATGTTAATGTTGATTGTTTGACTTTGATGTTAATGTTGATTGTTCATTGTTGACTTTACTTAAAGCACTCAAAGTTATTCATTAGAAATACAATCAGTAAAAAGTTACAGTGCCAAAATCAAGGGA